GTTTTTATGTTAAAATCGCTGCGAACACTAAGCTTTTGGAAGGATTTCGTCTTGCGCGCGCGAATGTCCACTTTACCTTATTTTTTGCAAGGGATTCTTGAAATTTGATTATATTAGAACAAGAAATGTCATTTTATAGTGTTTTTTGCAAGGGAAAGCGGGGGGGAACAAAACAACCGGATCTTGATCACATCGAATTACCTGAGGCTTCCTCACGAAAATGATGAAAATGTAGCTGCGGCCTAGGCGGCGCAGGGGGGCCGTGCACCAGGGGTCCCAACAATAATTATTCTTTAGAATTAATAATGTTCAACAACAACCAACAACAGCAACAGCAACAGAAACGACGACAACAACAGCAACCAACACAAAACAAAGAATCCTGGAGTTTCGACGCCGCGAGTCAACAAGACTGATGCGTCCTGACAATCATAAACCATGCCAGAACATAATTCCTGGGACTGCGCACCACCCCGACATCAGCTGGTGCAAATGTTCAAAACGAATGCGCGCAGCGCTATTGCGAGAGCCACGGTTTGAAAAGGAACCTCCCTCCATCCGTGAAGCTGCTGCAAACAATTCAAACGAATGTGCGCGGCGAGAACGCAGAAGCCACGTGTTGAAAACGGGCCGCCCTCCATCCATGAAACTGTTACAAAATGTTAAGACGAATGCGCGCGCCGCTAAAGCGAAAAAAAAACACCTTCGGAAAACGATCCACCATCCATCCGTGAAACGAGTGTAACCTTAAAAAACGGACGTTCTCGCACTAAAGACAAGAACCACAGTTTGAAAACGGCACCGCCCTCCATCCTCGAAACTGTTACAAGTTGTTGAAGCGAATCTGCGAGGCGCTGAGTCGAGAGTCATGATTTGAAACGACCCGCCCTCCCTCAGTGAAAGTGTTGCAGATGACCAGACTCGGGATCACAATCGGTGAGGATGTAGCGAGCGAAGCGCCTGGCCCGCCGTACCGGCACGTCCCGGGGCGCGACAGAGAGGAATTGCTTATAAGGAGGGTGCGCTGATGAGGAGGAGGAGGACGAGGAGGAGGAGGAGCGGAGGAGGAGTAGGACGACGACGACAAGAAGTGGAGAGGCTGCAAAAGCTGCAGGCGCGCTGCAAGAGCGTGCGCTGGTGAGGAGGAGGAGGAGAAAAAAAAAGGAGGAGGAGGAGGACGGTGGGAGGAGGGGGAGGAGGAGGAGGAGGAGGAGGGGCTGCAGGAGCTGCGGGCGCACTGCACGAGCGTGCGCTGGTGAGCAGGAGGAGGAGGAGGAGGACGGTGGGAGGAGGAGGAGGAGCAGTAGCAGCAGTATGAGGAGGGGGAGGTGGAGGAGGGGGAGGAGGACGTGGAGGAGGAGGAGGAGGAGGACGAGGAGGAGGAGGAGGGTAAGGAGCAGGAGAAGGAGGAGGAGGACGAGGAGGAGGAAAGGAGGAGGAGGGGGGTCAGCAGGAGGAGGAGAGGAGGAAGAAGGAGGAGGACGGTGGGAGGACGGGGGAGGAGGGGGAGGAGGAGGAGGGGGAGGAAGGAGGGGGAGGAGGAGGAGGAGGAGGAGGAGGAGGGAGGAGGAGGAGGCGGAGGAGGAGGAGGGAGGAGGAGGAGGAGGGACGGTGGGAGGACGGTGGAGGAGGGGGAGGAGGAGGAGGGAGGAGGAGGAGGAGGAGGAGGAGGAGGAGGAGGACGGTGGGAGGACGGTGGGAGAAGGAGGAGGAGGAGGAGCAGGAGGAGAGGAGGAGGAGGAGAACGGTGGAGGGACGGTGGGAGGAGGAAGAGGAGGAGGAGGAGGAGGGAGAAAACGGGAGAGGATAAAAGAGGAGCAGGAGGAGGAGGAGGAGGAGGAGGAGGAGGAGGAGGAGGAAGGGGGTAAGGATGATAGGAGGAGGAGGAGGAGGAGGAGGAGGAGGAGGAGGAGGGGTCGTCAGGAGGAGGGGGGTAAGGAGGAGGAGGAGGTGGAGGAGGAGGAAAAGGAGGAGGATGAGGAGGACGGTGGGAGGACGGCGGGAGAAGGAGGAGGAGAAGGAGGAGGAGAACGGTGGGAGGACGGTGGGAGAAGGAGGAGAAGGAGGAGGACGGTGGGATGACGGGAGGAGGAGGAGGAGGAGGAGGAGGACGGTGGGAGGACGGTGGGAGGAGGAGGAGGAGGGGGAGGAGGAGGCGGAGGACTGCCGAGAAGGGGCGGAGGAGGGCCGAGGCCTCCAGCTCGCGGCACAGCTGCAGCAGCTCGTCCCGCAGCGCGGCCAGCTCGGCCTCGTTGCCGCGGTGCATCTCCGCCTGGCCGAGGATTGGCGGCGCGCACAAGGAGGTAGGGGGAGGGTAAAGGGGCACACAAACACACAAATAAATACACACAAATAAAAAGACTCCCCATACTTTCCCATATTTTCTGGGTTTTTGTCTTCCCCCCCCCCACTTCCCATATTTTCCCATATTTTCCCATATTTTCCTGGGGATCGACGATTAATTGTGTCTGTGTGTTTTTTTCCCTCCTGAGAGGGGGGAGGCGAGGCGAGCGCGCGGTTCCGCCAGGGGCTGGACCCTTTAGGGCCTGCGCGGGGGGGCCGTCAATGCACGTTGTCCCTGCTTGCCGAGGTCGGGGTGCTGAGTTCTGAGCTGGGGGACGCTGGAGGTCGAAAGGTGCAGGTGGAAGTGGAGAGTCGGGTAGGGGGAGGGGGGAAGCTTCTTAGAAGGAGGCTGCCTCTCAAAAGGCGCCGGCATTACATCTACAGACAAGGCCCGCGACTTAAGAAGCAGGGGTTCTTCTGAGCAGCCTTCCCCCCTTCCCCATATCCCTCTCTCCGCGTGGCCGACAGGAAAGGGGCGAGGCGGCGACTCCCCCCGTCTTGGGTGCGCGGATGGGTCCGAACTGGGGTCGGAGGATCGCGCTGCATCGGCGATGCATCGGCGATGCATCGGCGATGCATCGGCAACGTCGGCGATGCATCGGCGACGTTGGCGTGGAGAAAATGGGGCTCCACATCGAGCCGCGTCGCCGATGCATCGCCGATGCCGCGCGATCCTCCGAATCCGTCTACTCGGACCCGATTCTGAGGCCTGGAGCCGGACAGGGGGGCCTAGGAAAGGGGGGTTAGCACATCATGGCCCAGTACGCGGACGAGGGGGGGGAGAGGGGACGTGCTGGGAGAAGAAGCGATAGCCACGGTATTTGGGAGAATTGTCACGGCCCTTGATATGACATGCACACACCCCTGGTCATCACACCCCTCTCCGACGCCCCCCAGCCATCATCATATACCGCTGTCGCCCGCCATGTCACTGCGACATGCCTCTTATCATGCACGCTCTCCTCCCAGCTCCGAGCGCCATGGCGCTCCAGTGGACGATTCTACCCATGGACCCAGGGCAGAAGGCAGAACGGGCAGAGGAGGAGACGAGTCTAGAGATGAAGAACGAAGCTGAGGCCATGGCCATGGACAGAGGTGACCAGGCGCTGGCGCGCATCTTGCATTGCACGTGGCGGGCAAAATCCCGACTGGGGCTGGGGCAAACAGAACGATCAACATGCCCAGACATCTCGCACAGACATCTGGCACATCGATTTCTGACGATCCTTAAGTGTAGACCCCTTCTTCAGCACCAGCTTCGCGCCAGACTATTGTTGACGGCCCCAGGGCCCGAAACGGGTCTCCAGGAAAAAGTGTAGCGGGAACAAACAATGTCAATAACACGCCGCCGTCGGAAACGCGTCGGCGTGCAACTGCTGAAGAAGCACCCAGATGTCGGCCCAGAGCGATGGAGAAAAACGCCAACGGGCTCCCGACGGCTGCGCGTCATTGCTACTCTCTCACCCTCTGGGGTCTGCAGATCAAGACCGCGCATTCCTTATGCGCGGGCGACTCTGCGGATCCTTGCGCCTCCTCCGCTGGCCTCCTCCCAGCCCGCATCTCGTCATCACTACCTGGGCTGCGCGACTCCTGTGCCCCTTTGAAGAAGACACTGGAAGACCGAGGGCCACCGAAACAGGCCTCATCCATCCTCTCCCTCCTCCTCCTCCTCCTCCGCCTCCTCCTCCTCTTCCTCCTCCTCCTGCTCCTCCTCCTCGTCCACCCCCTACCCCTACCCCTTCCTCTCCCCCTCCCTTCCTCCTCCTCCGCCTCCACTTCCGCCTCCTCCTCCTCCTCCGCCTTTTCTTTTCCTCCTCCTCATCATCATCCTCCTCTTCCTCCCCCGCTCCTCCTCCTCCTCCTCCTCTCCTCCTCCTCCTCCTCCTCCTCCTCCTCCTCCTCCTCCTCCTCTTCCGCCTCATGTTCCTCCTCCTCATCCTCCTCCTCCTCCTCCCTCCTCCTCCTCCTCCTCCTCCTCTCCTCCTCCTCCACCTCCTCCTCCCATCATCATCATCCGCCTCCTCCTCCATTCGTTCTCCTCCTCCTCCTCCTCCTCCTCCTCCGCCTCCTCCTCCTCCATTCCTTCTCCTTATACCTAACCTCTCCCTGTCGGACCCCGAGGCCAGCTGTTAGGGCGGGCTGTGCGTTTCGCCTGAGACTTCCTCACCCTTTATGACCCTGAAGGAAAAGGACGACCTTTTCACAGATGGAGGGCGGGTGATGTTCAGAATGCGGCTCTCGCATGTGCAAGAGCTCCACAGATTGAAAGCGGTTCCTTGTCAAAAGTTGGTTTTCGCTGTAGCGCCTCACACACATTCTTGCTAAAAACCGCAAGATGTTCACGTCTTCCCATGAACGATGTACCAGACATGGTGTTTGGTAAGGATGCACGATTATGAGGGCGCAACAATCACGATGATTCGCGGTGCTGGAGGAGGAAAAGGGCGAAGAAAAAAAACTCGGGCTGGCTGCGAGGGGGGGGGAAGGGCGCGGCGCCGGTGCCGTGCCGCGCCGCGCCTGGACTACAGGTCGGGGCGGGGGGGGCGCCGTGCCGTGCCAGGATAAATTTGTCGGGGCGGAGGGGGCGCACGGGCTGGGAGGCGAGGAAGAGCTGGGCTGGTTGCGGGGGGCGAGGGCGCGGAGCTGGGCTGGCTGCGGGGCAGAAGGAGGGGGGGCGCGGTGCCGGTGCCGTGCCGTGCCGTGCTGGACTAGAGCGATCGGGGCGGAGGGGGCGCGCTGGCTGAAGGGCTGCGAGTGCTGCGAGGGGCGAGGAGGAGGAGGAGGAGGAATTGGACTGCCTGCGGGGGGGGGGGGAGGGGAACGGGGGCGCGGTGCTGGTGCCGTGCTGTGCCGCGCCCGAAAAGAGTGGTCGGGGCGGAGGGGGCACGCCGCTGGCTGGGGTGCCGAGGAGGGGCTGGTCTGGCTGCGGGAAGGCAGGAGGTGGCCGTGTGCTGGCTCGGGAGCGAGGAGAGCTGGGCTTGCGGCGCGAGGAGGAGCTGGGAGTTGCCAGGTAGGGAAACGAACTCCATACACCGACGCTCTTTCCAGCCCTGGCTGAACTTTGCACGGGAAAGCAGATCCTGGTGTGTACGGGATCCTGGCATCAACGCTCCTTCCTCCACATCATCGTTCGCATTCTCCTTCCTACATACTGCGCCCTGCTCCTTCTGAGAGGGCACCCGCCGCCGCCTCCTCGGGGTGGTCTAGGAGGTACTGCGCCTCAGCCTGCAAAGGCTTCGCCACCTGTCGCCCGGCGCACAGCTTACATTGAGCCACGGCTGGCGTTGCAAAGATAGCGTGCAGCGCATGGATCTCCGAGGTGCGCGCTGTCCCTGTGAGGCGATCCCCCCACGAGGCCCCTCCTACGCAAGCCATCCCCCTGCGAGGACATCGTCGGTGCACGCCATCCCCCTGCGCCTTCCCCAAGGTGTGGGCGGATGTGTCGTACAATAGGGGCCCGACCACAAGAAACCTTCCGCAAGAGACCCAACCCTGAGACCCCCGGACGTCCATCGATCTTTGGAGCGAGAACGTCACGCGTTCCATCGCAAAACCATCGAAGCCCAAGATACCCAGGGCACCCTGGAGGCAAGCAGGGCGTTTCTTGGCATGGGTTTCCACTGTACGCCGCCCTCGAGCTCAACCCGGCTAGTATTCAGCACGGGAGAAAACGGGTCCTGAGGGAGACGGGCGCCTTCCCCCAGGACGAATTTCTCGTCCCGAGCCGTTTTCTGGCAATCCCGGGGCCCGTGAAGGGTCCCGAGGGCCCGAAGACGGCGAAATGCCTCGGGATCCGTTCCCCTCAGAACCCCTTTTCCCCCACGGCGGTAGGATCGGGGAAAGCGTGCAGGCGGCCAGAGGACCACCTGGAGCAGTGCCGACGGCGAGGACCCAAGGGCGCCTAACTTCACGCTTCGCGCAGCGCGAAGCGCAAAGCGCGAATAACTTCGCGCTCTCGCACCGCCCCCCAAGGGAGAACAGGAGGATGAGGAGGAATCGGAACCAGACCGCGAAGCGCGAAGCACGCAGCGCGAATAACTTCGCTGCCCTCGCCGACGCCCTTGGGGACCACGCCCCCCTGACATGGGCCATTGTTGCGGATGCCACAACAATGGACACCCCAACATTCCGATCATTGAATCTACACCGTGTTTAACATGTCGGGAAAATGTTCCCAACATGTGTTGTTAGACATGTGTTTAGCCTGCTTAAAACATGTTTGAAACATGTTTTGGGCCTCTGGAAATTGTTTGGCAGCCAGCCGGCCGGGGGCGCAGCGTCGAACGCCATCTCTGCAACGCCAGCCGCACCCCAGCGGTGCGCCGCGGCAGAGGGGCGCCGCGGCAGATCGGGGCCAGGCCGGGAGGCCCCACGCCACCGCGGGAGAGGGCGGGGGAGACGGGGACGGAGGCAGCAAGAAAAACGAAGAGGCATCCTCCTCTTCCTCCTCCTCCTCCTCCTCCGAAGAGGCATCCTCCTCCTCCTCCTCCTCCGAAGAGGCATCCTCCTCCTCCGCCTCCTCCTCCGATGGGGGAAGGACAGGGAGGGAGGAGAAGGAGGCGGAGGAGGAGGAGGAGGCGGAGCGAAGAGGAGAAGGAGGGTAGAAGGGAGGGAGGAGCGGTCGCTTCACAACCCCCCGCGACTGCATTGCAGCCTCCGCCTCCTTCCCTCGCCCTCCCGCCCCCGTCGCCCACTGCCTCACCTCCCACCCCCTCCTCCCTCCCCCGCTCCTCTGGAGCAGAAGTACCGCTGGCCAGGGTATCCGCGACACCCCTCGCGCAAGTCGTTCGTTCTCGGCCTTCCTTCGTCCACCCTCGAAGCCATCCTGGGACAAGCAAACACACCAAACGAGGAGGAGGGGGAAGAGGAGGAAGCGAGGAGGGAAAAAGGAGCGGAAGAGGAGGGGGAAGGACTCGGAAGGGGGCGGGGGAGAAGTGGGACGGGGACAAGGAGTGTAGCGGCAAGGAAGAGCTGGAGGGGGGGAATGAGAGCGGAGAAAGAGGATGGGGAGTGGGCGTGGAAGCATGGAGAAGAAGGAGGGGGAGAGAGAGAGAGAGAGAGAGAACGAGAGAGAAAGAGAGAACGAGAGAGGAAGAGAGAACGGAAAAGAGAGAGGGGGGTATGCATAGAGAGAAAGAGATGGCAACAAAAACTAAAGAGATAAAAGTTGCCATGCGGGAAAGAGGGAGAAGCAAAGAGAGAAAGGGGGGCGGCGGGGGGGGGACGCAGGCGGCAAGACCAGCCCAGGGCCCCGAGGCGTGGAGGGGCGCGGCCGGAGGGAGAGGGGGCAGGCCCGCCGCATGAGCGAGGGCCGCCGGGGAGCGAGAGGCACCGAACGGGTGCCTCTCGCCTTGCACACACACACACACACACACACACACACACACACACACACACACGCACGCACACACGAACATACACGAAGCCACACGAACACACACACACACACACACACACACACAAACACACACGCACACGCTCGCAAGCATAAACAAACAAACAAACAAACAAACAAACAAACGAAGAAACAAGCAAGCAAGCAAGCAAGCAAGCAAACAAACAAACAAACATGCAACACAGACACACAAAAACAAGCACACACACACACAAACAAATAAACAAACAAACAAACAAACAAACAAGCAAGCAAGCAAGCAAACAAACAAGCAAGCAAACAAAAAAACAAGCAAGCAAACAAACCAACAAACATGCAACACCCACACACACACACACACGCACACAAAACAAACAACACGTACAGCAAAAAAAGAGAGCAGAGAGAGAAGGACAGAGGGCAGAAAGGCAGAGGACGAGCAGGAGGGGAAGGAAGACGGGCAGTCTGCAGAACAGTTTCCGCCGCCACCACGGGCCAGACGCGTACAGAGTTCCGTGGGAGGAAGCCTCTGCAGGCTTGCTGAATACTCAGTTCGCGCGCGCGGCTGTCGCTGGGGCCCCGCCGAAGAAGAATTAGCGGCAGAAACGTCAGGGGCCCGCTGGGGGATTGCCATAAGCGAAATCACCTGATTTGCCACTGTGGGACAGTCCTGAACGCAGAGGAAGAAGGGGAGAGGGCAGAGGAATGCCTGTTTCTATGCAGAGCACTGCGAAGCGCTGCGCCGGCAAACGGCATCAAAGCGGCTGGGTCATCTGCCCGAGAATCTCCAGGGCGCACGTGCCGCGGCTTGCTTTCAGGACCGGCTGTGACACGCGTGCACTCTGTCGACCCCTTTGGGACCACAGCAATACAAGCGGGTTCAAGACGACAACTGCTGCCTTCGTCACCATGACCGGTGGCAGCATGTACGATCTCGATGTGTGCATATCTCTCGACTACACGCAAGAGTGACCCTGGGTAAGAGTGACCTTTGGTGCGAGGCTTGTTGGGAGCCGCGGGGAAATCAAACACAAGCGCGCAACATGCTAATATCACGTCGCGTTCGACGACCGGGGGACCCTCTTGGGCCCGCACCACAGGTCACCCCGTCGAAAGGTCACTCTTACGTCCAGTCCATCTCCTGGTCAGACTCGCGCGCAGAGCGAAGCTCCGGGGGCGCCATCGCGACATTCCTCCGGGAGCCCACCACCGAGGCGCTCGTCGACAACCGGAAGTGGCTGCGCGCGGCGCCGCCCCGCGGGTATCCATCGTCGCCTCGACCTCCGACGCACTTTTACGTCGGCGGCGAGGCAGAGGCATACTGCACAAGCGCGAAGCGATGCGGGACAACCGAAGAGCGAATTGGCCAGACTACCTCCGACGCACGAGGCGAAGCGGAGGGCAGAGCGCGTCCGTGGCCGCCGGGGCGGCGGAGTTTCTCGAAGGCTGGCGCGGGCGGCCGGGACGCCTCATCTGCAGTGGTGGACGCTCTCGACCACTGGTGCCGTATGCTGCGTGTGCTGCAGAAGTGTTGCTTCTGAGCCGCTCGATGTCTTGTTGCCCTTTTCCTTGGTGTGAGCCTTTGCTGGACGTGACCATCGCTGCGCGGTAGTGTGGGCTGTGGTTTCGCTCTGGGGGCGTGGCGATCTTTGGAAAGCGCACGACATCAATGAAGTGGCCCTGGGACACACAAATCAATACACACAAATAAAATGATTCCTCATAATTTCCCATATTTTCTGGGTTTCTGTCTTCCCGCCCAATGTTCCCGTATCTTCCCATAGTTTCCTGGGAATCGACGATTACTTGTGTCTCTGTGCTTTTCCTCTCCTGAATCAGGGGGCATGAGCAGCACGGAGAGGAAGGAAGGGCTACGGGAAAAACACACACACACACACCGTGGGGGGGAAAAAAAAAAAAAAAAAAAAAAAAAAAAAAAAAAAAAAAAAAAAAAAAAAAAAAAAAAAAAAAAAAAAAAAAAAAAAAAACGTGGGAAACACACACACACACACACACACACACACACACACACACACACACACACACACACACACACACACACACACACTGTTGGAACAAAAAAAACATACAAACACACACTGTGTGTGCTTTGTGTGTGTTTGTGTTCCCACAGTGTGTGTGTGTGTGTTTTTTCCTTGAGGAGCCGGGAGAGGGAGGAGGGGCTGTCGATGCACGGGCGAAGGGGCAGGCCGCGGCGGCCACGCCCCGGGGCGCCTGCAGGAGGCCCGCCACCTTCTCGCGCGCGGAGACGATGTTGTCGGCCTCGGGACGCGCAGCGCCAGGGCACAGAGGGTGCAAAGAGGAGACGGGGAAGAGGGGGGGGGAGACATCGAGAGAGGCGGAGACAGGGAGGTGCAGGGAGACAGAGAGAGAGAGAGAGAACGTAGAGAGACAGCGGGGGGAGAAACAAGAGCATACCTACCTATCGGAGAAGAGGGGGGGAGACATCGAGAGAGGCGGAGAAAGGGAGATGCAGGGAGAGAGAGAGAGAGAGAGAGAGAGAGAGAGAGAGAGAGAGAGAGAGAGAGAGAGAGAGAGAGAGTAGAGAGACAGCGGGGGGGGGGGAGAAGTCGCGTCGAGGCTGGGCCCGCGCTAACGCAGGGCACAACCGTCGACTGGCGCAGGCCCAGGCCAGGCGGTGGGGTGAGCGCGAGTCGGCGTCGCGGAGCCGAGCAACCTCGCCGACGCCTCCCCCAAGCCTGGCGCTGGGTCAGCCCAGCCTCGACACAACTAGCAGCCACTGCGACGCCAGTGCGCTCGCGCAGCAGGGTCGGGCGGGCGGGGAAAAACGCATCCCGCCAGCGGGACGGCCACGCGTGAGACAAATCCCATTCACCTGCGACGAGAACGCGCTCGCGGGCGCGCAGGGTGGGGATCCGCCTCAGCCGTGAATAGCCGTCCCGCAGCATTAGAGACAAGCAAGAAGATAGCCAATAGGGGCCACGACGCTCGCGCGACTTCTCCCCGCGCTCAAATGCTGCCCAGAGCGCCCATGAGAAGTCGCGTCGAGGCTGGGCCCGCGCTAACGCAGGGCACAACCGTCGACTGGCGCAGGCCCAGGCCAGGCGGTGGGGCGAGCGCGAGTCGGCGTCGCGGAGCCGAGCAACCTCGCCGACGCCTCCCGATGCATGCTCGGCGGAACGACGCCCAAGCGCGCTCTAAGCAGACCGCAGATGCCTGGTCTGCTTGACTCACGGCCTGGGCGGCCCCTGCACCGCTTCCGCGGCGATCGGCGCGTCCTGCGCGCCACGCGCCGCCGCGGAGCCCCGACCCCGATGCCTGCAGGGCGGCGCCTCGTCGGAATCGGAGTGCGCGATCTCGGCTTCTGCCGCCAGCACCATGGCTCGCGTCTTTGCGGCCGGGTACCTGTGCGCCGCCAAGCGCCGCGCCCTCGCGACCCAGGCAGCGCGGCCGTGCCCCCTGTCGGAATGGAGTGCCCGAACGCGGCCACAGATCTCCAACCCCCTTCGAAGAACAGCGCTGCTGGCCCCCCGGTGCGGAGCGCCTGTGTGCGAGAGACACGAACTGCGCGCGGGCCCTGGGTAGGCAGGGGACGGCAAGGGGAGCCCATGCCTGGTCGGCCCGGCCGCGCCTGAAGCAATGCGTCCCCCACTCCAATGCCCTATGGAGCCCGAGGTGGGCAGCGGCGAGCTCGACGCAAGCCAGCCCGTCCACGTAAGAGACGCCCGGCAGGAGCTGCTCGCCGGGCCGGAGCGAATGCCGAATGATGCAGACCGCACACAATCGTTTGCCCTGGAGCTGGCATACGCATACCCTCCAGACCTCGCGATGCGGGGAGCCCGGGGCGCGCCCCGCCGCGCGCGCGCGCTCGGCCCGCCGGGTCGGGAGCCACTCTCCCCTTCCGCTGGCGGAATTGCACCTGCACCTGGTGCTTTCCTTCGTCTACGTGGAGCGAGACGGCACTATGCCCAGGCGCATTCAGCCCCACTACTTCGGAGCCGAAGCGCAAGCAGAACTGCCAGCATATGACGAAAGCGTCGGCCATATCGCCGCGTCCGATCTGCCAAACGCCAGGCCCGCGGGCCGGCACGCACGGCAGGCCGCTTAGTTCGAAGAGCGCGCGGCCGCGCCTCGCGCAGCCAATCCGACATCGCGCGCACGTTTTCGGCCGTGGCGCGCGCACGAAATCTTTGCGCACCAGGCGGTTCCGCCTGCCGCCGATATCATGGGCTCGCGGCCGACGCGCGCGGCGGCCGTACCTTTCGGGCACCGAATACCAGGGTCCGCGTGTCCGCCAAAGACCCTGTGTCTGCGCGGAGCAGATGCAGGACTGAGCGAATGCCCTGCAAATAGTTCGACAGGGTCCCCGGGCGGCGACAGAGCGCCACCATCATGTCCCGCGCGATGGCGCACGGCGGCCAGGGCGGGACGCCTGCCGCATCGCACGCCTGGCCGTACAACTCCACCGCCGAGGCATACGGGTATGCCGAGAGCTTCCACGCGTGGAATTCTCGCCACAGCGCGGCCATCTGGATGCGGCGCATGCACTCCAGTCCTGCTCCTGACACCCGCAATTCCTCGGCGCGCCGACGAGGTGTTCCTGGCACCCGCCGCACGCCGATGTCCTGCCTCGCGCGCACCTCCCGCGGAATGCCGCCTTCGCTTATGAATATCGCGGGCGGAGCCTGGAGTTTCGTCAGCTGGCGGATTGCCTCTGCCAGCATCGGCGGCGCTGGTACCTCCGCGCCGCGCGCGGCGCACGAGGACGGTGGCGCCGCGCGGTGGTGCCTGCCGTGCCTGCCTTGCCGCTGAGAGCAACGCGAGGGCTTCTTGAGGCGTCAAACCCCCGCCGGGCCGGCGTTTCGCGCGCAAGCCCGGTGCCGGTGCCGGGCACTTGGCCGATTTCTCGAGTAACGTTTCCGCCGCCTTCGCTCCCACGGGTCAGCGGGCGGCGGCCGGCCTTGCTTGCTCCGCCGGATGGGGCGGAGTTGCGCGCGCGCGCTCGACCTGGGAGAGCGATACCGCTGCATCGTCCTCCCGGGGCCGCTTTGCCTTTTCGTGGGTCAGCTTACGCGCGTGAGTAATAAGCGTCACGGTGAAGCACTCTGACCACTCCCGGAGGCACGGGAACACTTCCCTCGCCTCCTTCGCCGTGAATCCGGACAGGTCGGGGGGATACGCCGCTCCTTCGGCTGCGAGCATGGATGTCAGACACTGCAGAGCTTCCGCGCCTACCGGATGCGAATCATTTTCGGGCGTCCACCGCGACGCGTGTGACAAGCACGCAAGCATGGCGCCCGCGGGCCCCCTCTCGCGGCGGGCCTGGTCGTCACGCGCTCGCCGCGCAAGCCTTTGCGCCCCCTACAAATTGCCCTGTGCTACTTGCTATGCATGCCCGCGCGATTGCCAGGGCGCCGCGCGGGGCCATGGCCACGCCACTCGGGTGAAGCCCTCGCGGTGCATGGCCGCAATCGCGGCCGCCTTCGTGGCGGGCCGCGTAGGGGCGTCTGCCACGTTGAGCGCGGATGGCACATACCACGCGCTCAGGAGGCACCGCGCGGTCGCTGCTGCGAACCAAATATCTGCCACGAGCGCGTTATAATCTGCCTGGCGCGAGGTCCCGCGTAGGAGCACCCCGAGCGCGGCCTGGCGCGGTCAGCGGAGCATCGCACGGGCAGCTCGGCGACCCGCGCCCGGCCGCGCCTTCGAATCGACAAACAACACGATTTCCGCATCGCGCAGCGTCGCGAGCAAATGATGCAAGGCGCAAACGGCCGCGACGAGTTCCCATGCCGCGACCTTTCGCAACACGGCGGGCTGTCCGCCAGGCTACGCGTGGCCGGGGCGCCCCCGCCTGCGTCTTGCGGTGCTTCGTCCACCGCTTGATCGACGAAGGCACATCAGCCGCTGCATAGCGCTTACCGCTGGGCCCAATGATGACCCACGCGAGCCTGCGGAGGCGGGGCGGGCCGGGCAATGCGGGCGCCGTTCCAAACAGGCGCGCGCGTATGTCGCCTGCCGCCGCCCGTCGCGTCGGAATAGACGAGGTAGCGTGGCCGCTCCGGGGTCACCCGCAGGGGCACCGCTCGTTCCGGCGCGCTCCGGAGGAAGCGCAGCCACCATTCCAATGCCCCGCGGAGCCGCGACTTCAACCTCCATCCCCGCTGCTGCGCGTGCCAGAACAGCGGGGCGAGGTATACCCGGGCACCTGCCGTCGCTCTCGCGCGCGCGCGTCGCTCGCGCGCGGGAGCTTGGGCGTGCCTCTGCCGAACACCGCAGAGGAGCCCCATCCGAGTCTGCCGGCAAGTTTTGATGCCGCCGCCGGCGACATTCTCCCTGCCTCCAGCACCCACTCGATCTCTTGGATCCATTTGTGGCGCTTGTCGCCACCGATCGCGAATACTAACGAGAGCTCATCGCCCGATCCGCGCACTTCCGCGTCGACGCCGAGCACAGTGGCCCTCGGCTCGGCAACAACGCGTTTGCCGGCGTCCAGGCGCCAGCCCAAAAGGTCTTCGACGACCGCCCTCAGGACCTCTGCGGCATCGCGGGGGCCGCCCGTGCCGGGCCCCCTGTCCGCGTCGGCCCGGAACAGATCGTCCACGAATCGGCCCGAAGCGAGCGAGAACAGCTTGGCAAGGATGGCCTGCCGCGCTCGCGGGGCGCTCGCCGCGCCGCCGCGGCGCTCGCGCCTCGCGCCTGGAGCGCCGCCCCAACGCGGCCCCAAGCGTATCCGCTGCCCACGGCGCCGAAGGGGCAGCTCAAGAGTTGCAGACAGTAGCCCTCGCGGGCTCCCTTGGCCCATACCGAATGGGCCAACGGGAGGTCGGCGCCTCGCACGGGCAACGTTTTGTAAGCACCGATGAAAAATTCTTTGCTCAGCACCGGCGCGCCGGCCGCGGCCGCGATCCGCGCCAGCTCGACCAGAGCATCGAGAGAATCCACCCTACGCGCGGTCGCGGCGACACGGGAGAGCGGACAGCGCGCGCGAGGGGCGGGGGGGGGGGGAAAGGGCCCGCCTGCACCTCTCGGCTGCGGCGGCGCAGTCATTAACGCCCGTGGCAGTGAAATCGTCGATCGCGCGTACCTGGACGCGTTGGCTCCCGGCGCGGCGCCCAGGGGAGGGGACGGTGCATGCCGCGGCGAATGCGCCATTCCTTGCGTATCCATTCTTCCAACTTCCAGCGCCATCCCTCGTCTACAGGGAATCGCGGGTTTAACACCGCCCCGCGTGGCAGGTCGGACAACCGGACCCACGCTGCCTGGCCCGCGGCCACCTGCACGCTCGCGGACGTCGCAGC